CCTATGTTTAACTTCCTATCTGAAATCTGGAAGGACACACACTCTAGAGATGTGATAAAGGGCACTTTCACTTATTCTACACAGCACTTTCATTTCTGCTGCTATCAACTTTTGTATTGTTTGCAGTATCATAGTCAGGTTTAGAATTGTAGTGATGGGGGCTCTCTATTACATAACTGCAGTAAAGGAAAAGCTTCACAAGCAAGTGGTCCTTCACTGGGTACTGAAAGCAATGTCAATAATTTACTTTGGGTGGACTCAAATATGAATATTGTTCATATCTTTGAGGGCAGAAGGTATGACACCTTTTCCTTTCAATTGTAACACCTTTTTCTTTCAATAGCACCTATGTAGTGCCCTGTCCCCTATGAACATGCAAAACTTTTATTTACTGACTGAAAGGCGCCTAGAAGCAAAAGACTTCTGCTAGGGCAGGGTTAGTTTGAGGCTATGTAGTGGAACAAATTAAATGCATGGTTCTAGACAATTAAACAGTGCTTTATCAATTTGATTAATCAGGTACAGATAAGAATGAATGTTTCTTTTACCCTTGAATCCATCTACATTATTTGCTCCATATTTCATTTTAATTTGGTGTTCAATAAATTTCTACCCATTGCTCTGTAAAATATTACTTGGGTCTATATTTCAAAGCTTGAGATTTGGATTTAGTGTCTATTTGACTTCATGTTTCCTGCTAGGAAGACTGACAATTTTTTTTTTTTATTCTTGAACCATAATTATGCTTTACTTCACCAAAAACATTTGCATTCATTTATTACAGGATGATGCTGATGCTACTAGAATGTGTTTAGTGAGCTTTTATTATCCCACTTCTTTGTCTTTTTATATCTTTTGATTAAAGATTCAAAGGTTGTGCATAGAATTGACTGGTATTTCATGGTTGTAAGATACTCTATGGGCTTTTTAAAAAAAAATAATTAATATACAAAAATCCATTTTATTTCTACATATTTCTAAACTTTCATTATTTTGCAAAAGTATTCTGAATGGCAGAATTGTAAAAAAAATGGTTTATTCTTCTCTTAGGCTAAAAGATTCATTTTGAAGGCAAGGGGCTTATCTATTTCCATGTCTTCCCTCTCCACCACCACCACTTCCTCCTTTTCCTCCTTTTTGTTGCAACCTGAAATGTTTACATAAAAGTGAAGCAATAGGGGCCTCCCTGGTGGCTCAAGGGGTTAAGCACCACACTGTGAAGCAGTCCACAACCTCTGCAGCAAGAGTTTGATCCCCGGCCAGGGAGAAACCCACGTGGCACAGCAGACCTCTCCTGTCTCACCTGCTGCTCCCCTCAGCAGTATATTTCAGCACATCTGCCTATTCTGTTGCCCACTATCTGTTCCCAACTATCTCTGTTGAATCTTCTCATCCCCCATATCTCCCCACCTCTAGCCTAGACCCCAGTTCTTGTATGCATAAATAAATAAAATAAATCTTAAAAAAAATACACATGAACAAAGTGGAAAAGGTTAGTAATATAATAAAAATTTCAAAGTCTTCTAAGCAAATGTATGAGTCCTTATTTTTGATAAATTATAAAAGGTTAGTAATATAATAAAAATTTCAAAGTCTTCTAAGCAAATGTATGAGTCCTTATTTTTGATAAATTATGAATAACATTCAAATTAACAGAGAAGATAGTAGAACTTTGAATTTGGTGATTTGTGCTCTTAACATCAAGTCAAAATGAACAATATTCAGTATAATAATTAATTTAATTTAAAAATTAATTTAAAAACACCCTTAGCACAAGAAGGACTATATGTCATTATTGATACTACCACACAAATATAACATCCAATCAGAATAGCTGCTTTTCTTTTTGGACATTTCTTCATTTTTTAAAAAATATTTATTTATTTATGCATACAAGAACTGGGGTACAGGCCAGAGATGCAGGGGGTGAGAGGATTCACCAGAGACAGAGTAGGGAACAGAACAGGCAGATTGACTGAAATACACTGGTGAGGGGAGCAGTGGGCCATGGGGGTAGCTCCCTGGCTAGGGATTGAACTTGTGCAGCAGTGGCTGTGGATAGCTTCATAGTGTTAATCCCTTGCACCACTTAGGGAGGCCCCTTTTTCATCTTTTTCTAATCCTAAAAGTCTTGAATGAGTTTGTCTGGCTGCTAGGACAGCTCAAGGGCAAAAGCCTTAATTTGAGCATACATAAAATGATTAATTTAATTATATACAATTTAAGGAAGAAATATTAGAATATCCACATTAACATCTACATTGTCTACATTAAATAATTAAAATACTATAACTAAAAACCTAAGAAGAATCACATAGTGTTACCATTTTGTATTTGATAAAGGATTGCAATATTTCATCTGTAAGTTGAATAAGGTCAAGGAGCTAATGAATAACATTTTGACTACAAAGGATAATATTGTATTGAATAATTGAAATTTGTAAAGACAGTAGAACTTAAAGTTCTCAGGCAAAAAAAAAAGCTATGTGAGGTGATAGATGTGTTCATTAACTAGATAGGAGGAGTACTTTCACAAAGTGTGTGTGTATCAAATCATCAAGATGTATACTTGAAGCATCTTACAATTTTGTCAATAAATTACCTCAATAAAGCGAAAAAACCCACAAGTAATGATGTAGCACTCTAGAACTGAATCTATGGCCTTCTCACAAATAATAAATGAATAATAAATGTACACTTGTTATTGTGAAGTTATATTTTATTTTGAAATATATAATCTATCATTTTCATGTACATCTTAAAAATTCAGATAGTTTCGCCTCCCTGATAGTGCAGGGGTTAAAGACTCTGGGCTATCAAGCTATCACCAGCCACTATGGCATAAGTTAGATCTCCGACCGGGGAGCTAACTCACATGGTGCAGGAGACCTGCCCTGTCTCAGCCACTGCTCCCCTTAGCAGTGTATTTCAGTAGATGCTCCCCATTCTGTCTCTGGTGAATAATTGAAATTATTGAATAATTGAAATTGAATATTTGAATAATTGAATATTCAATTATCCTCCTCTCACACCACCTCCCCACCTCTGGCCTACACCCCACTTCTTCTATGCATAAATAAATAAAAATCAATTTTATTTATTTATTCTTTTTTTGGTGGGATCCTCGCTGGCAGCCGGAGAACGAACCAGCGCTGCAGAGGCTGTGGGCAGCCTCACAGCCAGCGCTCAACTGCTGCACCACTAGGGGAGGCCCAATAAAAATCAATCTTTAAAAAAAATTCAGGTAGTTATTTAGTTTATTTTTTTTTAATAGAGGCATGTTTTATTTATTTGTTTGTTTTGTTTATACATGCACTGGGTACAGTGAGAAGCGCGGGTGGGTGAGAGAATTCACCAGAGCCAGAGCGGGGAGCAGAGCAGGCAGAAGGACCGAAGTACACTGCTGAGGGGAGCAGCGGGCGGCAGTAGAGGTCTGCGCGCCATGTGGGACCCTCCTCCGGTGGTCGGGAAGCAGCCGGGAATCGAACTGGTGCCACAGAGGCCTCGGGCAGCTTCGCAACCCAGAGCTCAACCGCTGAGCCACCGGGGAGGCCCTAGTTATTTAGTTTATAGTGAGATGCCCATGTTTGACTTTTAGAAATTCAGACCTCCATCTTTAAAAGACCATGGGAATATATACACAAAGAAAAACAACAATTTGTAAAATTCATTTTTAAGTGAAAGATTTTTTAATCATCTTTTAACTTTTAAAAAAGTTTTACTTAATCTATTTTATTATGTTTATTGAAGTAACATTGGTTCGCAACAGTGTATATGTTTTAGGGGTGTAGTTTCACACCTCTACAGATATATGTTACCACTGAAAGCCCAATAATCCTCCACCAAAGTCCACTGCACCTCCACCTCCCACCCCCTATGCTCCCCACCTCCATCCTCCCCTTCTGGTAACATCTGTCAATCATTTCTTTCAACTTTTTTATCTATGAAATATAAACACTTGTTTCTTTAACAAAAATCTTAATTGTTGGGGATATAGAACACACACAAAAAAATCAAAAAGCCTATCGCTGTAGGCTAATCACTTGAAATAGAAGCTATAAAATCTCAGTTAATATCCTAGGTCTCCCATTTATCAGCTGGATCACAGTGTACCAATGATTCGGTTTCCTTCTTGGTAAAATAGGATTATTGATAGTTGCTTATTTCATAACATTATTCTAAAGATCAAACAAGATTATAAACTAAGAAGTTCTTTGTAAGCTATAGTTCATTAAACAAATTTAAGATGTTTTTCAATGAGAATGTTGCATAATTGAGTAATTATCATTTATGCAAAATATCATTCCTGACAGTGAGTTTGATGTCCATGCACAGATACCACTTTGGAAAAATGTATTTAACCAATAGGAAGTAGAGTGTCTCTCTGGTCACCTTTCAGACACATTAACAACTTGCATGAAAATGGCCTACAGTTAGAGCCATGCTGCATTAGGTGGACAGAGCAATCACTAGAACAATTTCTTAATACAAAGAAAGTGGAAACTTGAGTCTGAAGAGAGGAAATATCAAAGGCACTCTTTATCAAAAGTGAAACGTTGAAATCCATCTATTTAAGATTAATCACTATTCTTTAGTTAAGCTGTTGTCATCTCTAACTTTGCCTGAGTAGAAAATAATCTACACTTCCAACTAAGTTATTCATGGTCCAATTTGTTCTCAGAATACCATAATAGGCTTTGTGAAGATAAGTTTTATAATAGGGATTTAACATAGTGAGAAGGCAAGACTGAGAGGCCTTCAAACACAAAGAGTATAGATGTATATAAACTGCTTGGTTCCCTCCTGCTTCTTCCCTTCTTCCACCTCTCCCGCACCCCTCTTCCAAAATGACACTCACCCCTACTCAAAATCTACTTTTTACAAATGAGTCAGATGAAACACCATCTAGCCAACTACAAAGGACAATTTGGCTGGACTCCCACAATGTTGCTTTGCAGTCATTTTCAACAGTGCTGGAAAAAAGGGAAAGAGTAAAGTACCACAGAAAGAAGGAATGTTGCAAAGGGTTTTTTAAGAGAAACATTCATAATCTTCCCTTCAGGCAGTTCCGTCTTGCTTGATGACCACATTTACATACTGAGTCCACGGGCCAGAACTCTCAGAGAGAACTCTGCTTTGCCAGAGAAAATAAAAATTTCATGGTGGCATCCTGAAAAAAAAGAAGGAAAAAGAATCACTGATGATTTGTATGTGTTATTTTCTAATTTCCCAAGCTTTTGCTATATTGAACTGGTGAAAATACATCAAATTATTCAAAAACACAATTTGTTTTTTTCTCTTTAGTTCTATAAGATCTTTTCATATTTATCATTTTTATCTTATTTGTATCCAAATGACTCTATTGGCTATTTGTTTTACAAAGTAGCAAGATACTTGTACTCTAGTGCCAGTTAATCTTCATTCCAAATGGTTGGGTTGTATTCTTTTTTTTAGTTTCCTTATTTTCCCATTTTAGACATTTTATGACCCAAAATTTAGTATTTAAAATAACAGAAACTCTTTCTCTACTGTTGTATTTTAATAACTAGCCTCTTTTTCTATACATGTTACATCCCTGCTATACCTATTCTGTCTCAAGTTACACTCTCTTATTGGCATATTTGGAACACAGTGTATGAAAGAATACAAGCATATATTAAAGGGTGTGTGGTTTATTGAGTATTTAAGTCAAACCTGTCTTTGATTATAAAAATCCTACAAAATTACATAAGACTTCTATAGCAAATATACATTTCTAATTTTTTTTCATAAACTGTTTTTAATGTGCTTTTAATGGCTACCAGCACTCACACCTTACTTGCTTTCCAAACTGTTTATACTGTCCCCAATAACACTCAGGGGAAAGCTGTCATTCCTGGCTAAACCCTTACTTAGGGTGGATGCTATGCCTCTGTGAGACAGGGTCAGGGGGTCAAAATCGATTTTGGAGGCCACCTGGAGAGTCCAGGCCATGAACTGACTCAAAAAATTTATATCAGAGCTGGAATAGTCCACCTCCCAGGGTTAGATCTAGCCTGACACTCCAACCGCAGGCTGGGGCATGCTAGACCGAGCTCAGAAAGAGGACAGAGTTGTTGACCCTGCTAGCTGACCTCTTCAAACTTCAGGAGAATTTTTTTGGCAGTTACCACGGTGACTGGGTACTCTAAAAGCTTATCCTTCTTACTGAAAGAAGAAAAAAAAATTAGGAAAAAATATGTTAAGACCTACCTTGCAGAGATACCCATCAGGGTTAAAGTAAAAAAAAATTTTTTTTTTGAGGGAAACTTTAACTTTTCTATACTTCTGATATTATTCTTCACCACTCTCCTAAAGAAATTAGAATTTGTAAGATTTTTCAAACAGCAAAATTGCACATTGGAACAGATAATGTTGGGGATTCCTTTACCAATAGGTGATAAGAATTTGAATTATGTGTTAAAAACTTCTAAAACAACATATCTTACTTGTAAATTCTAACATCCCTGCTTTTCTTTGAGAATAATAAGCTTTGAGAGAAGATCCATAATAAATGCTAAATTGTTAGGTTAAAAATATGACTAAATAATCACTTATGCATCAAAAAACACTCAAATTTTCCTGAGACAAAGTATCCATTTTTGCATGACTTGAAATAATAAATTTAGGAAAAAAGCTATATTTGTCATTATTATATATTTTCTTTTACCAAATGACTTAATAAAAGCAATGCATACATTACAAACAACATTGTGAAATATTCTATGTATAGCAAAAGTACACTGAGAGGAAAAATTACAATGTGCCCTTCATTTTAGAGAAATTCGTATTAAAGCTAAAAAGGACATGGAATATTCTTCCATATTAATATCAAATGCTATCTTGTTCTAATGCCCCACAAAAGCAAGGCTTATGAATTAAAATTTAATTTTGCATAGTGTAAACCTTTGCATATAATAAAAAAAACTCCACTAGTTGATTTTTGGTGACTTTGTATTACAAAATAAAATGGCTCTTATATGTGACTTGAAATTAGATGAGATAATTTAGAAGTATAATATTCTTTAATTATCATAATACTCTATTTTAAAAAATACCTGTATACTATATTTAATTACTTTCCATAAGGTGAAATTATTGACTATCATTTTGCTATTCCTTTGATCTTCCATTAATTTTTGCATCTACTTATTAAAATGACCTAGGCCTAGAAGTCTTGAAAGGACTTTCTCTGGCATTTGGGTTGTGTGTGCGTGTGTGTGTGTGTGTGTGTGTGTACATGTGCACGTGCACGCATTACATTCATGCATGAAAATGCACAAACAATCAAGCATTGGTGAGTGGAGAGTTGGTTTGCATTTTAAAATGCAGTGACTCTCCAACAAAACAATGTCTTTGGTCTAAATATCATTTCTCATCTTGACTCCAAGCCAAGGAAAAAATGATGAATTACATAAATGTAGTAACTGACACAATAAAAATGAACACCGAAACTTCAGGGAATGTTTTACCCCAATCTTGAATGTTCATTTTGCTGTGACCTATTTTCACTGTTTTGTGATCACCATTAAATTCTTAGAACAGAATGAGCACAAAACCAAGTATCTGCTAATTAATCTTAATTTTTAAAGAACAAAATATAATCTAGGATATAATTTTCTCTCTTGTCTTAGTTCAAAACAGCCAGTAAAAGGGAAGATCAGAGCTACAGTTGGGGCTGATTTTGTCATGTGATTCAAATGCACTTTGCTAGAACACAGGTCTTTCTTTTAGACAGTGTGGTGCCTGCCATTACAAAGTGCAACCAGGTTGGTGAGTCACTACAACTATGGTGCCAGATCATTCTGTATGATGAACTCAGACTGACTATCTTTCCCAGCCCAGAACTCTTGGCAAGCTTCCTCAAAGACCGGGTGACTGGCAAAGCATGAGGAACTATCAAACAGGAAATGAGATCCCCCTCAGTTTTTGAGAAGAGCTGACAGAAGTCTTAAAATGAGACAAACCAGGCCCAGAATCTCCTAAACCACAAGCCTCCTTACCTTGAGTGAAACATTGTTTCTAAGTTGGATCTCAAAAGGAAAAGATAAAATATAAGACAGTGGCTCATTTATACATATGAAAACAATACCAAATTTCTTACTTGGTTTTCTCGAATCACATTTAGGGTCTCTCCCAGGTAAAGACCAAAAATTTGTCAGTTGTAAACTTCTACCAAAAGGAGTCTGAGATCAATAGTTGTTTTATTCAATAGTTATTTTTATTTTCTTCAAAGGCCTGGGTCTTCTCTTATATTGAAAATTCACAAGTATGTTATAGAACTATAGAATTTGAGGACTGAAGGGCCTCCCTGGTGGCGCAAGGGGTTAAGCACCACACTATGAAGCAATCGACAGCCTCTGCAGCACGAGTTCAATCCCCAGCCAGGCAGGGAGCAACCCACATGGCGCAGCAGACTTCTCCTGACTGGCCCGCTGCTCCCCTCAGCAGTGCATTTCAGTCTGTCTGCCTGTTCTGTTCCCCACTCTGTCTCTGGTGAATCCTCTCTCTCTCACACACACACACACACACACACGCACACACACACGCGCGCACACAAGAACACACCCGACCGACCCCGCATCTCTGGCCTGTAACCCAGCTCTTGTATGCATAAATAAATAAATCTTTAAAAAGAAAAGAATTTGGGGACAGAGAGGGACCTGACAAGTGATCTAGTTCTATCTCTTTCCATATTTGAAATCTGAAGACAAGAAACATGCACTGTTCACATACACACCAGTAGCAACGTGCCTAATGGGAACTTACAACCTGCTGGACATTTCTACCTAGTATGTTTTCCAGACTGATTCATAGACCCTCCACATGGGTAAAGACTAGTAAGAACCCACACCAGTAGACACATTCAAGCCTTGGAGACAGAGTTATTTTGAGACCATGGTATAAAATGCTCACAAAACTCATTCAAGCTACACTTCCAGGAAACAACTTTAGGTCTCATGCAAGCAGCAATTCTATACACTTAGGTAGTGAGTGAAACAATTAAATCATCTGTGTTATGAAATTCTCAGGAACTTATGTCTGATAAGGGCATATTGTTAATACTATTTCCCCAGCTAATTGTTTTTATTGATTTGTTGTAGTTAATTAATACTGATTAGTTTTCTTTTACTCAATACAATTTCCACTCTGCAAAGTTGATAATTAAATACTGAGAAGCATGTTTTGTTTAGTCTATCTGGGTTTCCAGCAATTTGAAAGAACATCCAAAAAACTATGAGCCATAAGACATGATGGCTGTCAACCAACAAAGTGCTTATCTTGATATTTCTTAAACATTTCCCTCATTTTTTACTTAGATTCTGACTTGCCTCTATTAGGATCAGTGGATCCTGAAAATGAAACAAAAAATAAACCTGTAGAAAAATATGGAATTTGTGGCTGATAACCCAAACTGCCACTTGTTAGCTGCTTTCAGCTGTAACATTTACTCTGTATATTGTTTATTTTCACAGAGGTCCCCAAATTCCCCTTCTAACTTGTCATGACATTTGGGAGAAGGCTGTGACTTAATTCTGAGATTTTGACTCTGAGCCCCAGAGAAAAACGAATAAAGGATAAGAATTAAAGAGGAGGGGGCCTCCCTGGTGGTGCAGAGGTTAAAGTCTCAATGCTATCAAGCTAACACCAGCCCCTGCAGCTTGAGTTCAGTCCACTCCAGGGAGCTAAACTATATGATGCAGCAGACCTCTCCTGTCTTGCCTGCTGTTCCCCTTAGCAGGGTTTTCAGTAGATCTGCCTGTTCTGCTCCCCACTCTGTCTCTGGTGAAGCCTCTCTCTCTCACACACGTACATACACACACACACACACACACACACACACACACACACACACACACCCCTCTGGCCTACACCCCAGTTCTTGTATGCATAAATAAATAAAAATAAATCTTAAAACAAAAGAAAATAAGGGGAGGAGAAAATGCAGTAGGTATGGTTGAGGGCCCAATGGTTTTGTAGGAAAGGAGACTAGTTTAGGCAGATGTGTGTAATTAAGAGGCAAAGGCAATCTAGAATTTCAAAGAAGTACTATATTCTTTCCACAGATTTCCATACGTGTTACTTAAAGTTGGCATTTTTGGTGCTAATGACATGCTAAATTTTGGTGGTCAGGAATAAAAAATTACTCTG